CTAGTTGATTTATAAACGAGAACAGTTTTATACCAGAAACGCTTTATAAAGTTTAAAATACACCTTAAATACTTCCCAACAAAACGATTATCTGCTAACGCTCTGTCACCAAAAGAAGCGCGACTCCTGTCAGTATATCTCTCATTGTATCCGCTCATACACAACACAACAATGTACGTATAAGCTCGAACTCTCGTACAGACAATTCGACGCGCGATCGATAAATCTCTCCCACACTTTTCCAACCAAATTTACCTCACATCAATCAATTTTCTCTCGAAGTGCCTATTGAATAGCGTAACTATTACACAATAGACTTCAAACTCAAAGTTGACGTGGCAGACAATGGCAACGAGTTGAATTGGTCAAAAGCCGGACAGTTACGAATTTCAATAATACACCCGACCACCGATTTTGAAACAGTTACCGATGGAATAAAAAACCAAACAGCGAATGTAGGTACTAAAAAATAGGCGACGAAATGCACAAACATAGATACGTATGAAATATATTTTTCACAATTTTCGCTGAACATTAAAGATGCACGTTCTACTGTTGTCATGTGACGGACACAAATCCTATTACTAAGCGCTGTCCATGTCCCCCTGTGATGTGCTGTAATTGTGGTCCTTGCAGCATATTATACAGCTACATCGAAATTTTCATTTTCCGACATTGTTTTCCAACTGAATATTGATGTTTTTTTAGTTGTAATTTCCGACAGCTATTTACGCCTGCACACTTTTTACATTTTAATGGGGATGATGACAGGGTATGAATATTAAAAATATAATTAGTCCGTAAGTTAGGTAATGAAAAAATATTAGACACGTATTTTTTTATTTTGTCGTATAATAAAACAATACTTAGATAAAACGAATCAAAGTTTAGGAGTGGGGGCTAAAACGTCATTCCTTAGTATAAAATGTACTGAGAAGTGACGTCACGCGACATTTCAAATCAATATATCTTCGAAACTATTCGTTTCTGTGAGAAAATAAAAAATACGTGTCTAATGTTTTTAAAAAATCTATCAGACGGACATTAAAATAAAAATTAGTCGTCTACCCCATTCTATTTTCTAGTGACGTTCAAACATTTTGTTTTAAGTATATCACAAAGGTAACAACAATTTATACTGAACAACGCTGTCGCAGAAATTCACAGCTCGTTACACCAACTTAGGTACTGAATGATAAAAACGCCAACTTAACTTTGTATTATTTAATCCCGTACAAAGTTTTTGTATGTTTATTATAAAAATAATGTAGATAAAACACGTGTTAAATATGAATTTTAAAAGCCCAATAACTGAAAACCTCTCCATTGTTTTCATTACACCGAAAAGTCGTGCAAATCAAAAACAGACGACGTATTTTCGATATATCTATTGGCGAGTGTCACATGCTATAGTTATTTTTTTCCATTAGGATTATTCTCGGCAATAGTCGCGGGTACTGAGAATGTTGTTCATTTTGTTTTGTGTCTGTAATGTCAGGCACTGTTCCACAGATATTGAATAGTACTTTTAATGCCTTTTTCTCGTTTTTCCGGATTTAAAAGTAGAGTCCGGTAAGGTGCTTAAGTGCTGTTCAATGGTGGTTTAAGAGTAATAAAATGAATGGTTGTTTACTCGTGAATGCACATTTCTTATAAGCTTTTATTTTTCTCAATAATACTCAACCTCCTTTGCAGTAGGTAGTATTTTTTAAATATTCTTCTCCATTCGAAACTACACTTTGGAACCGCCTAGCTTCACTCATAAACAGACAGACCGACTATTACATTTTAGACATTCCAAAAGCCTAATTAAGTATTAATTGATACATAAATGCTTTGACTTTGACTTTAGCTTTAACAAGATTATCATAGCTAACTAACCACACACAAAGCCCCTATTATATTGCAATTATGTTCAAATCTCCAGATTGGTTTCACATCGAAGTTGGTTTTGACAGGTTAGGTAATCGACTGGACGTCACAACATCGACTATTGAAATCACTGATGGGACAAATTGGTCATCTCTGTAACAATGAGCCTACGTAAAATGATTTTAGGGGTTGATAGAAGGCTAGGACTACAGCAGGTATGCAAACTCGATAAACATTCTAGTGGTTTTAATGAAACTCACTTGCTTCGTGCTTAGAACTAAACAAAATGCGTTGTTACTAACCGAAACAATACTGCATAATAATCTATCATTTCCCAAAAGGCCAAGGAAATCTTTACAAGACATTTTGTTTTCGTCAGTACCTACCAGAAGGGCCTATTACCAAAGCTTATGCAAGCTCAGATTTCGTGCAATAATGCTGAATTCCCCCCTCCCCATCCCTATTAACCCTTTGTCGTGTCGTGTGTCGCAGTTCCTCAGTCAATTCGGCCGACTAAATGCAGATGGCAAAACACTAGGTAGACATACATATATATCTCCTGGCGTTTTCACAACTTGTTTAACGATCGGTATTGGGCTGTAAGTAGATTAAGTCATATTTATCCGCCATTTAGAGTCATACAAAATTCTTGGTCACGGATTTTTTGGGCGTTTGCTCATATCATAGGAGTTTGTATGACAATTTAACAATAGATAACGTCACGGAATAAAGAACCATTATCTAATATAAGAAATACCTCAGATAAGTTTGTTTTAAGTAAAGTATTCCCACCCTCTACTGATTACTGGTGTGTTTAGAATTATCTGGTCGAGTTAAGTGTATACACGTTGAGCTATAAAAACCAGTTTATTATGATCTCCCTTTGTACGATCTTCCCGCACATTCTACGGCCATTTTATACTGGTTATGTATAGTTTCATGTGAAGCCGTGTTTACTAGATAGGAGTCAAAAGTAAACGCAAGTAATTCATAGTAACACAGTGAGGGCTCAAACCGTAACGGTTATCGTTGAATCGTGCACAACCGTGAATTGTAGCCCTGTTTGCCTGTGAATTAGCTAAATTAAACAAATTACTTAGTACAATGTGTTTACTAAGTTAGATTTTAACTTACTTTACTAATTTTGTGTATTTTTCGTTTTTTTGTGTTGTTTGTTTTTTGGTGAATAGGTACTCGAGTGAGTCCCGATTGCTGAGCAAGAGTTATTTAAGCAAAATGAAGTCTAAAAATAGTTTGGTGTTATTAGTAACGTTAGTAGAGCTAAGCTATGCAAAGGAGTTTCATTAAAATCCTCACAAATTATTGTCACGGCATAGATTTGGAGACAAACAGGGTGCAGACAAAGAGCCCTCGAATAATGCCGTAGCGTAGGAAACCATCTAGTTCAAAACTAGCCTCTAGACTAACTTCAGAAAACGAAGACTTAGAGCAACTATCAATTTAACGAAGGCAGAGAAAATACGTGGCCCCAAAAATAGCATTACCTTTCCCTTTTGTAGATAAAGTAGAATTTTCCATAATTTCTTGTTGAGTCTCATTTTCATTATAATTCTACTCTATTTGTAAAAATTCACTCATAATATTTCTGACACGCAAGTGATAAAACTTGTGTTACGGGTGTCAGTTAATTCTAATGCTTAGAGTGTCTAACCAACTCTATGTTACATTGCATTACTTTAACAAACTATATGTCATTTACCAAAGGCAAATCTATCTACATAATCACCATAATCATGTATGTCAATATCAAAAAATCCGAATTCAATAATTTCCTGTCTTACTTTTCCTGTCCTGTTTTCCTATCCTGTCCTGCTTGTCGCGGAGAACCTAACGGGTAACCGGGGCTCCGGCTCGACGTGCAGGAGAAGGAACGGGGTGGTTTTTAGTCAGTAAGAGTCTGACACTCCCTTCCGCCACACCCAGGCGGGAGCAGTCATTCGACGATTTTCCCCCCTTAACAAAAAAAAAAAAATCCTGTCCTGCTTCAATTCAATAATAATTCAATATGCCCAGAATCGACACCAAAACTCTAAGCTAGGAAACGAAGCCATAAAATTAAAAACTAATTTAATGATAAATATCTTAATACATTAAGTAATCAATCCTCAAAATCCTATAATTTTTCCTCAAAGTATAAGAAGTCCATTGATTCACCTACACCAGTATTTTCTTAATCAAATTATATTAACGCCAACGTAAGTACAAGCTCAAAATAAAGTTCGTGAACTCCAAAAATAATTCTCACTCTTCAACAACTTTCGACACGCGACTAAAGCCCTCTGATTTTTTTTAAAATTGTAAAACCGACATTATAAAGTATATTACATATAACATGATATTATTTCGCCGAATCGAAGCAAGCTTCCAGTTATATTTAATATTTTATGATGAGTCGAGCACTTCAATCTCACTATAATTACTGCGAATTTAAAAAGAAAATCGGGTAGCACTATTCACTGATAGGAATCATCACAACTTTCGCATAAAGTCTATCATCGATATAGGTAACAAGGATTGCTGTTAAGAGAACCTTGTTACACCTAACATGAATAGCAAGCACCGCTATATTAATGTTCGCATAAAATCTCAATGCTAATATTTAAGAAAAAACATAAATCAAAGTTCATAATTCTCATGTAACTCCCGTTACGAAAGCACTTCAAAATTTTTATCGCTTATCGTGTAACAAATTTCATTTGTATTGTGCATGTTTATGTTGAAACAAAAGCTTACGACTCAGAATTACTTGTCCACAACCTTTAGAACTCTCAAAATACTTGCATAAAAAATATGGGACCCAACACAATACCTCCCGTTTCGGTCGCCGCGTTAGCCTAACAAGCATCGCATTAAATATTTGGTATCCGAAACCCTTTATCGGCACTCGCCTGGCCCTCGGCGCGCTAGAAACGAGCCGATTCTTCACGCCTTGAACAACAATGGGGCGCGGCAAGCTTTATTTGTGAATAATATGCTACGCCAAACGAATATGACACGGCAATTCGCTCGCCGATAATGTCGATAGAAAAAAGAATGTGAAAAATGGATCAAACTTGAAATGGTGAACGCAAAGCCACTCAACGCCATCACTTCTTCTGTTTACTTACCTACTTATTTCCTGTTCACCGTTGGGATTCCAGTTTTCTAAGTCGGGGTCTACCACATATTGTAAAAGTCTTGGAGTTTGGGCTGTGTCCATTAAATCACTATTCGTTGATATCTTAAAAATTGGCCAAATTTCAGGCAAATCGTCTATATTTAAGTCCAACATTTTGATAAAACTAGACCATTCACAATACGTAAATACTATCAACTTCCCTGCGAAAATATAAAGAGCGCTCCATGCAGTGAACCGCACCACAGGAGCGTCGGAGTAAGACTAGGGTCCATCCATCATACATTGGCTTCAACAGGTAGTAATTATACATGCGTACAAATTGTGTGCAGAATTTTCACTAACTATTTGCTTTATAGAAAATTGCTTGGATATTTATTCATTGGTTTACCACATAAAGACAATGCCGAGCTTTGTCCACGGCGCATCTTAAAAGTACTTACCGCAGAACATTAAAGAAAATGTGATCAAGAATTTTCATTGTGAGTATTCCCTATGAGAATATTATTTACGTTAAAAATAAGTCTTAATAAGTACACAATATTATTATGTCTAAATTGTAAAAAATAAAGGTGAAAAAACTTTTCTGTAGAAAATAATGGTTTAATCGGAAACTGTAAGGTGCATTTTCCACAATATCAACAGTGTCATTAGCAAACAGGGCTTATAGAAAACGGAACAAATACTTTCCTACGTTTTCTTCTTATTTGTATTATGAACCTTTGAAGTTTTAATTAATAGAAGGCATTTTATAGTAATAGTGAAAGTAACTGTTGCTAAAGAACTTATATGATAATTTTATCAAGTACATCATGTTGAAATGAATTTTACTTTGTTGATATTTATTTTATAGTAGCTGTACCACGTGTGCATATTAGAACTGTTGCTTGCAGCTTGCTTTCAGCAAGGTTTTAATTAGCTAGGACTACTGCCAAAATCGTATATAATTATTCTATAAACATCAAATTGATGAGGACCAAGTATGTTGATATTTTGATATTAATATTTCAACGTCGAATGAAAATGATTATTTCAGCGGAAAATCTTCGAAATATAAAATACATTTTCGAAGTGCCGACTGAGCCGATTCTTATGCTGCATGCGCAGTACAATCAACTTTTGATCAGTTATCGTGAACTGATACAATATTTATTTTAAACGAGAATATATTTCTATGAGTATGTCTCGAGTGGTTTCAGAGGGCATTGATACAATTTATTCGCGTTTTGTAATGAAAAGCCAGCAACGAAACAGTTGACTAAGTTTGTTCTTGTTAAAATTGTGTACAAGCAACTTTGTTTGTGAGGCCTTACATATTAGTTTACAGGCGGTTATAGGCTACTTTTGAAGGAGTAAAAGTTAAAGAAAGAGCAATCTGGGTTGAACTGTACAATAAAACATTAAAATAACATCAGTACAATTAAATGTTAGCCTCTATTTAGAAATGGTAACTTCAGGATTAAATAGGGCAGAAACATTTTTTCCAGAACGACGTGGAATAAAAATGTGTCCTACTTGCAAAGTTGACTATATATGTATATATTGGTGAGTTACGTTCGTTTAAAGTTCGCCATTCACAAACATAATGTAAACATTGTCACAGATTATGCACAGGATGGAATAATCAAAACCTGAGAGAGGTATGTCGTTCCAAATGAATTCTAGTGGCTCGCTCAGTATACGATTAAAATGTCATAGTATGTAATTATGTGGGTATGCATGCATACATCGAATTTGGGATAGTAAGTACTCCATTTATTTATGCATCATTGTCATGTTTCGGACGTAATTACTTAGTATAATAATTATGAAACTCGGAAATAGTTTTGTTTGGTTAAATGTAATAAAGATCGAATTAATCAAGTTCTAGAAATACATTACTACAATGTCTCACTACAAAGCTCTGTGATATTCGATCATGACGTTGTACATCAGAATTAATCCCGGTTAAGGCAGAATGTTGTTGAATTTCAACCCTTAAACCGTAACCATTTTCACCGTGCAGTTGGGTTACCACAGAGTAGAATATATTTGTATATTTCTAGTCTCTTCCTGTGGGTATTATAAGCCGACAAAGGGACTACATACTGGACAGAAACCAGCCATTATCTAGTAAACCTGAAAACAAACTGCGTTTTTAACCCACCTGCCAAAATTGGAGATTTTGGTAAAACCGATTTTTTGTCTTTTCTTTTTGTTTTTTTATTTTTAATAAAGCGTTTCCCTACGCCAGGATTTTCTCCTGTGTCGTGGGTGCATTTACAAATAAACCATTTCACATACCCGAAACAACAATTTGTTGGATCACACAAAGAGTTGCTCCGTGCGGGAATTCACGGCAGTCAGTCGCCTAGCCACCGCACCAACGGTGCTGTCAAAATATTACTTAAAAAAGACTTTAAGTCCATTAACAGTGGACTGTGACTGGCTGTTGATGTTGTATAATAAGACGCAGCAGTGGACGTCTATGATGCTGGCGATACGATTAGTTCAACTGAAAAATGTGAGTGCTTGAGTAATATGATCAAATTGTAAAATGTTTCTACGGTTTGCAAATTAGTTTTTATCTGTTGAGTCTGGCTTTTTTTTGCCCGACAGATGAAAATGCATTCACCCTTTCTAGATGGGATTTATAATGTAACCGGATTTCAGGGGTGCAGGGTACGTCACCACCACATTCCAGCCCTAGGGGGCAGACAGGGGTGCGATATGAATGAATACAGAGAGTTCAAGCTAATTGAAACATTGGAAAATTGTTTCATATGTTGCTTTTAGAATGTTTCAGGTACTTATTTGTAGTCTGCGTTTGTTGTGAATGTGATTTTAAATTGTGTTAAATCAATTTGCAATTAATGGGTTATCTAATTATTGGATTTCAAAGTAACTTAGCTTTTTGACTTTCTAGTCAATAAGTTGATATTATTATTACTTCTGGCCTTAAAGGTTTAGATTCAATATTTGGTATGTATAAGTTAAATATTAGATGTATGTAGGTAGGTATGTATTAATGGTGTATGACATAAGTGATGTAGCATGCGTGCCTTTCTGTCTATCTCTGCGTGGAATAAAAGGCAAGATGTTATATTTGAAACTTTATATCTACCAAGGCTACAGACATACCAAAGAGTATTTGTAAAAAACTGTATTATTGACAGTTTCCTTTTAGTCCTTGGCCGTCTGCCGAAGCACATTGGTTTCGCGTCAGTGAACACATCTGGACCGTACAGTGACGATGTCTCAACGAGAACGAGACGACAACGTGACGACTACCTATCGAAACCGGATAGGGACTATAAGTCGAATTCGATGACTTGTATGAAATGTATGATTGTGTTTTTTTTTTAATATTGATTTCTTGCTCAAGTCTAGGTGGATTCTGGAGTTGTATTAAGTATTATTGTGATTTCCAGTGCAAAAACGGAGTTAAAATTTTAGTTTAGATTTGTATAGTCTGTTACCATTGTGATTGGGACCAATATTTTAATAAGGTATCTTATGAAGATTAGGTGTTCATTTGTAATATGACTACTGCTGACCAAAGGCCGCTTTTTGCACGGAGAAGGTATGAGCATTAATCACCACGCTTGCTCAATGCAGTTTGGCGCGAAATTATTAGCCCAGGTTACCTCACGATGTTTTCCTTTACCATTTGTCAATGGTTTCTAGATAATCTGATCGTTTTAGTAGTAAGTGCGTTACTTTTTATGATTTTATAATATGTTTGTTATTAAATGACTTGATTTGTCAATATCTATGGATAGCTCTGATGACATCATATTTACGTAAACTACCGTCATGGTAGTTATTGCTCAAAAAACCTAATAAAATTCATTTACAGTTCAACAACAAGGTAAAATTTAATGTGTTATTGTTGTCCTTGTCCTGCATCTATACAAAACACAATAGTGTGAAGAAAACAAAACAGCTTTTAACGTAGAGTAAGTGTGTTTTTTTAAGAATAAGGACGTGAACTTTCTTTAGCTCTTGTGAGTTTTCAATTTGTAAAATGGAGTTTTTGTTCAATACGAGCTCTTTGTTAGGACTGTAGTAGACGCTTACATTTACGATGTGTAGAAAATCTTGAATTTTCTTTTAAATACTGTTCAAGAGGTGTTCGTAAGCTTTATTTCATGTATGGTAATATTTCATTTTATTTATTTTTAGCCATGGTCGTCCCAATGCAGGGCAAAGACCTCCCTACCCTCCTTCCACTCGTCTCTTCTTATAGCCTTCTGATCACAGCGATGATGATGATGATGATTCAATCATCACCATGGTGATGATTGTTGATTGATGACTGAGTGACATCACTGTATCAGTGATATCACTCAGTCATTATAATTTCTGCGACTGGCATTTCTAGTGTATTTGATAATTCTCTTTGGGGACGACGCAGGACATTGTCATTCACTTACGATTTATTCAATCAATTTTAAACCCTATTACCTAGGTAATAGGGTTTAAAATTGATTGAATAAATACGTCTAGACGTATAGGAATGGCATTAGGTGCATAAATAAACATAATAAGCATATTTGATACCAAATGTTCAGTGCAGCTTACATCAACTTTAAAATGAAGGTAGTGGAACTCAAAATAGTTTGGCATGACTGCAAATAAGTTGTAATGACTTGCTTCGAGCTAGCTTAACTTGTAAATGTTCGATTATGAAAAATCTACTACATTTGTTCATATAAAAGTAGTCTCTAAAAATCAGAAATAAGATCTATAACAGAAATAAGACTGATTGGAGATTGACCAGTTGAATGCAGTGCGCTTAACCTTAAAAGAAAGACATCAAGAATGGGGCAGTTGAGTATAAAATATTATTTATAAGTACCTCAAATTAGAGACGTTCGAAATTAAGTTTACTTCCAAATGCGCTATATCAGAACTTGATGGATGACTGACGGAAACAGAGGGTATTGAAAATACCTACACTGTTTTAGAGATAGTTAATAGACATCGTATATATATGGCTTTGCATGGACGATAGGCAATATGCACTGCAAGGGATAAAATGATGGATGGAAGCTAGAAATGGAAATACCAAAACCGAACAAAGAACAATACCTAAATACCAGTATTTTTAAATCCGACTGAAAACTCTAGATACAAAAAAACAAAGTCTAAAGCTTTTAACAGTGTATGATACA